AATAAATCGATAAATCCCAAAAAGAAAGGGGGGGGGGGGGTCCTGTGGTTCTTCTCCTGTTTGATTCCTAGGTGGCGGGAAATGAGCTTTTCCGACTTCTGAGGTGTCTTTTAATGACTTTTAATTTCTTCAAAATTCAAGGTGCCCCCTCTTGAAATGATTCAATTAATCAATGAACTCCAAAGAAAAGGTCCGTGTTCCCCGGGAAAATTTTGATTTCTAGATGGCGGGAAATGAGCTTTCCTGACTTCTGAAATGTATTTTAAGTTAATCAAAATTCAAGGTTTTTCCCTCTTGAAAACAGTCAGGTAAATTTTTCTCATTTTATATTTTATGTGTGTATTCATACATAAACAAATGAGTAGTTGCATGCGTATTCTTTTTGCCATGAATCGATAAATCCCAAAAAGAAAGGGTGGTCCAGGGGTTCTCCCCTTGAAAATTTTGATTTTAATGACTTTTATGTTGTTCAAAATTCTAATTTTCTTAATGTAACAAAAAAAAAAAAAAAAAATCAGCTCACGGTTCTGAAAAAGTAGGTCTAGAATTCTTTTTCTTTTCCCCTTTTTTTTGTTGCCCAAGGGAGGGGTCAGGACCCATGACCCCCTCCCCCATATCCGCCAATGTGAATTGCGAGAAAATGTAACTCTGTCGGGGACTGGATAAACATTCTCTTTCCCATCCTTCTCCTCCTTCTTCCCTCCTTCTGTGCTTGCATTTCCGATCATACAAAAATCTCCCGACATTATATATTTTTGCCAAAAAGTGGGGGGGTTCCCGGGCCCCCGGTTCCGCCGGCCATGTGTTTGTATGTTTCACGTATGTCTTGATATATAAAATGAGTATGAATGCACAAAGTAGAGTCGTATACGTTGACATAATATACATAAAACAATTTTTTATTTCGAATATTTCGAGCAAGCCTGTGCTCTTCCTCAGCGATAACACGTATTGTTACCGCCCTTTATAATCCGCCCTAATTATACATATTATTTACGATTTATTTAAGTCACTGCTATAATGTTTATTTTTTATCCCCAATTGCTAGTTTGTAAAGCTTCTATAAACATACGTGTAATCGCTGAGGAAGAGCACAGGCGTGCTCGAAATATTCGAAATAAAAACATTTTTTTAATGTCTATTATGTCAACGTATACGACTCTACTTTGTGCATTCGTACATACATACATATACATAAATATATATACATATAGATATATATATACATACATATATATAATATAAAAGATATATATAGAAGAACGTCGTGTTCGATTGTGCAGGGAATTCTTTATTAAAATAAAAAAATCCCAACCATAGATTAAATTATTTATTACTGGAAGCTATTTCTGTCCCAACCCTTAGAAAAGTCCACGAATTTTGTATTCCAAAACTTAAAACTAACCATACAAAAACATTTATTATTAATCATGGGCTTTATCATGATTGGTAATCTCCCCTGTACAGTCGAACTCCTCGTTGCCTATTGATGTGATATTGAGGTTTGCGCTTTTTTTTTCTTAAAAATCTTAAATCTGATAAAGGATTCCAATTGTAAGCTTTTTGTTAAACTTCAATCGGTTGATTGCAATAACGTTTTACAGTTTACAGTTTATACATATACATACATATATATACATATATATACACATATATATACACATATTATAATATATACACATTATATATATATACACATATATATACATACCGTATATATACATATATATACATACATATATATATATATACGTATACATATATATACACATATATATACACACACACACACACATATATA